AAGTTTTCTTTTAAAAACATACAAACATCTAATTTCCTAATTCCTACTAAAGTCCATTACACTATTTTTTTTGTGAAAATGTTTTAAAACACTATTTAAAATTCCATTTTCTAGTGTTTTATGTGTTTCATTCATGCACCTTTTAACTTCAATGAGAAATTGATAAAAAAAATGTATGACTTTAGTCATATCAAAAGCCAATCTCCTGATAAAATAAATAAACTAATAAAATAATAAAAGAAACTTTGAAAAATTTAAAAATTTTCATATATATTTCAACTTCGATGGTAGAAGAACCGAAATAAAAAAAGAATATATACTTCAATTATTAACCAAAATCAAATTCTAAGATAAAATAATTAAAATAATAATAAATTTTTTTAAAATATTTGAAAATTTTCTTACTGGACCTCGATTAATAGAAAAAGTAAGAACAAAAAAAGTGTTATAATATTGCAAAAGTTAAACGTGGTGTTGGAAACGTTTTTACAATGTTAATATTCTTTTATGAATATTTTTAATAATGAGCAACAATTCAAATTTTTAAAGTGGCAGCAGTCAAATTATTTATTTGCTTTAAAAATGTTTTATTATTGATTTTATTTCTTCCCTAGCTCATAAATAGAGAGCTCCTTTCTCCATTCCAAAACACATCACCAAAATCAGTCTTTTCTCATTGTTCATTTTTCTTCTTTTTTTTCCTCCTTTTAAAATTATTTTGGGTTTATTTTAAACTCTTTTTAGAGATCCTTGCTAGTTCTGAGATCCTCAGTAGATATTATGAGAAGTTCTTTGTTTGTATCTTGGGGGAGTGGCCTTTGCGGGGCAAAAATACAACCCCGCGGATAAGTCTTTAAAGATCGTGAAACTACATGCCTCAAGAAATTTTGTTCGTGATTCTGTTAGCCTTTTACAACAATCTTAAGGACTTATGGCTGACATCAATCCTGAAGGATCAAAACTTTGTTTCCAGAACTCAAAAGGTATTTGCGAAACCACTTTACGGATATGGTGTCAAACATAACGAGGCTCTTCTCTATTACAGAACCTTCCGAAAGGGTAGACCAAGATGCCCAAACACTGGTGGCTTTTGATACATTTGTAGAGACCATGAAGGGGATGAAGAAGAGGGAGAAGAGGCGACAAAACTTTCATGGTGTCATTGCCTTTTGTAATGTTTGAGGAAGGTGGGAAAAAAGATTTCTCTCCAAAGAAAGGAAAGAAATAAGAAGATGAGGTACTTGAGTAATTTTTCGTATACTTTACCTACAAATGAGAGAAGCACAACCAGGTATTTTCTCGTTTACCAATCTTAAATATTTTAAAATTGTGGTGGTATAGGTAATTTTACTTACTTGAAGAAATAAATTTGGCTTTTCACCTAATGATATTACTCTTAAATCTAGAAGTAGAGAATATTTCGTTATATATTTATATATGAAGATATGCTAATGATTGATTCATGCAATCAGATAATATTTAAAAATTAAGGTTTCTAGGATCAAATTTTGAAATGAAAGACATGGGTGAAAGCCAATGTATTTTAGGTAAATTAGAACCATAAGGAAGGGAAGAGTAGTAATATTACTACCCAAGAACAAATATTGAGAAACTTCTTAAGAAGTTTAGGTTTTATGACCTCAAACCAGTGAATACCCCTTATGATGCTAATTCTAAATTACTGGAAAAATAAAGGAGAATCTATATCTCAACCTCAGTTTTCCCAGATAATTGGGAGCTTACTGCACTTGATGAGCTTTTCTAGACTGATATTGTTTATGCAATAGGTAGACTGAGTACAGTACACTCAATGTCCAAATCAAGAACATTTGGATGCACTTGCTAGGCTTATGAAGATACTTAAGAGGTTCAATGGATTATGCCATTGAATACAGTGGATTTCCCGCTATACTAGAAGGGTATAGTGATGCTAACTAGATCTCTGATCCAAATGAGACAAAATCCACTAGTGGTTATGTATTCACACTTGGGGGTGATGCGATTACATGGAGATTAGCTAGACAAACAATTATTGCAAAATCAACAATGGAATATGAGTTTGTTGCTCTTGAGATGACTGGTAATGAGACTGAGTGGTTTGAAAAAACTTCTTAGCGAACATTTCACTAGAATGAAACCAACCCTATCGGTATCAATAACACTGTGATTGCCAATCGGAAATAGCTATAGCTAAAAACAAGAATTACAATGGAAAGAATAAACATATCCAATTGAGACAATTTGGTGAAGTAGTTGCTAAAGAGTGGAACTAAGTCATAACAAAATCTAGTAGATCCTCTGAAAAAACCCTTGGAAAGAAATATGATCTTAGAAAACATCGAGGGGAATGAGACTTAAAATAAAAGCCACTAGCAAACAACAAGTTGATGGTAATCCAACCTTTGTGATTGGAGATCCATGAATAAGGTTCTAATGGGTAAAAACAACTCACTTAGTTAGTTCTGATAAGCACTAATTTGATTTTAAATCAAATATGTCCATTCCTATGATGTGTGTGGAAAGTTGGCTAGAGCTACATTATTGGGAGATTAAACTTGGTAATATTAATCAAAGTTTTTAATGATCCTTTCATATCCCCTTATGGTGGTGTATGATTTGCAACATACACTTGATGAAATCACCTATATGAGTGTCAAGTGTGGTCGCTTGCATGAGATCTTGGCATGATAGCTAGAGCACTCATGAATACCGGGCACGTGCATGGCCTAGTAAGCGCAACACAACTATAACAGCAAGGATTGTGGGAGTGTATTGTGATTGATAAACCTCTAACACATGTCAAGTGTCTTTGGTTCATATAGCTTGTTATACCAACTACACTGTGTGTTAAGTTTCTAAATCTAAGACTGGTTCATATAGCCTACTATACCAGTTCTTATGCATTACATCCTATGAGACCCAAAATAATTTTTTTTTTCTTTCAACTCTCTTTTGCAATATGTGGGGGATTGTTATAATATTGCAAAAGTTAAACGTTGGTGTTGGAACATTTTACAATGTTAATATTCTTTAATTAATTGATAACGTTAATATTTTTAAAAAGCAACAATCAAATTTTTTAAGCGTTGCATCAGTCAATTATTTTATGTTGCTTTTATTGTCTTTGATTGATTTTATTCTTCTCTAGCCCATTCCAAAAAACACATCCCAAATCAGTCTTTTCTCATTCTCATTTCTTCTTTTCCTCTTCTAAAATTATTTTTGGGTTTATTTTATACTATTTTTAGAGATTCTTGCTAGTTCTGAGATCCTCAAAGATATTATGAGAAGTTCTGTGTATCCTCGCGAACCCTTGCCACAATACACTGTGGATAAGTGGTTTTTTAAGGAATAGTAAAACTACACACCTCACGAAAATTTTTGTTTCATGATTCTCCTCAATCCTTTTAAATAAGAAAGTGAAGGTATAAGGACATCTGAAAATATTTATTTATTAGACATGTATCTTCAAGTAGAATTGATAATATATAGATAATATTAATCATATATATATATATATATATATATATATATATTATATTATTCTTAAATTATCCGTGTTCCTGAATTTATACTTAACTAATTTTACAAAATTGATTTATCTTAAAAAAAAGTCAATTAAGTTACAATTAAATTATAATACATAAGTTAAGATTTTAAATAAAAATAATTATTTTTCACTATTAGTTATAGATATAGTCCATTTATAAAATTAAATGAAGTTATAATTGAATTATAACATTCAAACCCAAACTATTACCTTCTTAAAAAGGTTATAATTATATTCTAATTAAAGATTATAGCTTTTAACATACTCAGTTGAACATTAATAATAGAGTTAAGATCATCACAATTTAATTCTCATTAAGATGAAATGAATTTATGAATTCCATAATTCAAAAATATTATATTAATGTCTTAATTTTGTCCATTCATTTCTTGTATAAAAAAAAAGCTAGATTGAATATCTTATTTACGTAAATTAATAAATTAATGCACATTTAGTCTTATCATTATGTTAAACTGCCGATCTTATCTTTCAATCATTTATAAAACATTTTCTTAATAAAATTTGAGTTGGGTTCAGATTCATATTCCTTATTCGGTTCTCAACGCATATTTAACTTTCTGATTTTACAATTTTTAATATTTATGAATAATTATAATGTAATAATACACATTTATTATGTATTAAAAGAAATGTATAAGGAGAAAATTTCCCTGGAAAAAAAATTAGTGAAAAACAAAAGGGTAAAATAGGATACATAATAAAGGCACCATCGAGCTAACCGTTGGTTTCTCAAAATTCCATGTTTGACTGGGCAAAACCACACAGACAGAAACGGCAAAATACTTATAGCCTCTCCGTTAGTTATAGTCACTTTGCCAAATCCCAATTCAACCCTCACTCTCGCGCCCAATTCGCCCTCTCTCTCTTTCTCCCTCTCATTTTCATTCCCGAGCTTCGGTCAAGTCTCAACGTTACTTTACGCTCCGTTAATCGGCGCCGAGGTATCCATTTCTAACCATTTGTTTTTTTCTTGAATCTCACGTAACCGAAACAATACCGATTTTGTCACCATGATCAATGTTTTTTTGGCTTCGTGCAATGTATGCATGAAAGTGTTTCCGTTTTTGATGCGATGAAGCTATCTCTGCTGCATTGATTTGTTCTCGCAATGTGTGAGGGGTTCGAGCTGATTTCAGATAGTGTGAGTGAATGATCATAACCAGGTAGCGAATTTCAAGTAGTGTAGGTGATTGAGAACGCATTTCTGAGTTACTAAGTTAAGCCGGCGCTTTTTAACGGTTTTATTGTTTGAGTTTTGACGAAATTTTGTAGTGGTGTTTGTTTTTAGTTTTGTAATTTACTGTTTATCGATTGCCAATATTATTATACTATATATTTTTCTAATCTCTTGATATCGGTTATTAGTTTCCTTTTCTAATTTAAACTTTTTGAATGGATAATTTTTTAATTGTGTTATTTTCAGGTGGATTGCTGGTTTAGTCATTTGAATGAGTATTTAGTAGCTTTTTGGTGATAGTATAATGGAAGAAGAGGAAGAACCAAAAGAGACAAAAATATCTGATAATGGATTGCATGGTCATGAAGGGAATAATAGGGGAATGGAGCGAGTTGTTAAGAGTCCTCAGGAGGAAAATGTACATGGAGATAATTTAAAATATTTATCCGGGGTGTACTCAACAGAGGGTGATCTTTACCCAGTTCCTGACATGCCACATGATCATCTTACTTCTAGCCCTGGGTCAGAGGGGCATTTTGGTCACACCGACAATGAGTATCCTCCATCAGTTAATTTTGGTTCGCCTACATATTCTTCTGTTAGTTCTCCACAAAAGCATTGGGAAAAAAATGCAGGGCAAAATTCGTCTGCAGAATTATTGCATTTAATTGATTCTGCTATAATGGGGAAACCTGAAGGTATGGAGAAACTGAAGAATATTGCAAGCGGAGTAGAAATTTTTGGGAATGGTGAAGAAATGGACAGTGTGCCTTTCTTAATAGTAGATTCACTTCTTGCAACAATGGGCGGTGTCGAAAGTTTTGAAGAGGACGGTGATAATCCTCCTAGTGTAATGCTGAACTCTCGGGCAGCTATTGTGTCAGGTGAACTGATTCCCTGGCTTCCTTACGTTGGTGATTCTGATGTTGTCATGTCACCTAGGACACGAATGGTAAGGGGACTTCTTGCTATATTAAGGGCGTGCACCAGAAACAGAGCAATGTGCTCAATGGCTGGTCTGTTAGGAGTACTGTTGAGAACAGCAGAAAAAATTTTCACTGTAGACGTTGGCTTAAATGGGCAAATAAGGTGGGATGGAACTCCTTTGTGCCGCTGCATACAATACTTGGCTGGGCATTCTCTTACTGTTAGTGATCTTCATAGATGGTTCCAAGTCATTCCAAGAACACTCACCACAATTTGGGCTTCACGCTTGATGTTTGCATTGGAAAAAGCAATTAGTGAAAAGGAATCTAATGGACCAGCTTGCACGTTTGAGTTTGATGGGGAAAGTTCTGGTTTGCTGGGTCCAGGTGAGGGTCGTTGGCCATTTATCCACGGGTATGCATTTGCAACATGGATCTACATTGAATCATTTGCTGACGCACTAAATACAGCAACAGTAGCCGCTGCAATTGCTGCGGCTGCATTTGCTAAATCAGGTAAGTCATCAGCTATGTCGGCTGCTGCAGCAGCTAGTGCTCTTGCTGGTGAAGGTACGGTACACATGCCACGTTTATTCAGTTTTTTATCTGCTGATAATCAGGGTATAGAGGCTTACTTTCATGCTCAATTTTTGGTTGTTGAAATTGGTTGTGGAAAGGCAAAGAAATCTGCTTTACATTTTACTTATGCATTTAGACCACAATGCTGGTACTTCATTGGTCTTGAACATACAAGCAAGAATGGTATCCTTGGGAATGCAGAAAATGAAATTAGATTGTATGTAGATGGGTCTTTACACGAAGTTCGTCCTTTTGAGTTCCCCAGGATTTCCAAACCCCTTGCATTTTGCTGCATAGGAACTAACCCTCCTCCTACTATGGCCGGTTTGCAACGGCGACGCCGTCAGTGCCCGTTATTTGCGGAGATGGGGCCTGTTTACATCTTCAAGGAACCAATTGGCCCTGAAAGGATGGCACGCTTGGCTTCTAGAGGAGGGGATATAGTACCTTCTTTTGGCAATGGAGCAGGGTTACCATGGCTAGCAACAAATGCCCATGTGCAGAGCAAGGCAGACGAAAGTGTTCTTTTGGATGCAGAAATTGGAGATTTCATTCACCTACTCTATCATCCTAGTTTGCTCAGTGGGCGTTTCTGTCCAGATGCTTCACCTTCTGGTGCTGCAGGTCAGATAATTTCTGGGTGTTGATTTTACGGTAATATATACATTTTTCTGCTACTGCCTAACTATGTTATTTTTCATGAAAAAAATGCTTGATAAATAATCTAAGTGTTATTAATAGGGTATTAATGCTCTACTAGAAGTTGTTAGAAGTTCATAGAAGGTTCTAGAGATCTTTTTGTAGTTATTACTTTGGGGCTAGAGTTTTCTATATATAGATGTAGTAACTATTTGGAATGAATCAATTTAAATAAAAGTATTCTTTATTTTATATTAATTCTTTCAAGTTGATACCAGAACTCCTAATCTTGGGAATTCTGCTTCTACATTTGTTTTTACCGTCTTAGTTAGGTTCCTTTTGAGATTGTCTAAAGTACACCCATTTCTTTTAAATATTGGGGTTACTTGAAGTGTACCCAATTTGTGGTTATGTGCCGTTGCTGCACCCCATCTGTCGTACCTTTGCTGGAGCCGTCCCTGGAGCTTCCGCCATTGCCATCGTCAGAATTATTGTTGTTATCATCACAATCATCATTGTCGGAACTTTTTGTTTATTGTTCTCCTTTAATTAAGAGGGGGCTAAGGAATCTCCATTATTTATTTAAGCATGACAACTCTACTAAGCAATGTTGAATTTCTAACTTTAGAGATACATGCACTATGTGCTGAAATTGAATATTTGATATCTCTAATGTGTCTATAGTAAGTCACCTTCTAGTACTGGCTTTGTAGTCGTGACTGGTAAGAACTTCAAACTTTATATAAATACTCTTGGATTCTAGATTCTAGTGTGACAGACCATATGATCCCTTACTCATCTCTTTTAACATCATATGTTTTTTTTTGGGTAAAACATTACTATTGCTAATGGGACTCGTATCCCAATAACTGGACATGGTAAATTGCACGCTTCTTGTTTATTCACACTTGTTATGAATTAGCATGAAATCCATTTATAAATGTATTGAAAAAAACCTAGGTGGTATAGTGTTTTTAGCATAAAAATGAATAATAACACTTCTAAGAAAACACTGTTATTGGAAGATATTGTAATTTCATATTTATATAGAGAACCGTGCCCATGAAAATACAGAATATTCTACCATGCAATATTTGAGTCATCGAGTAAGTAACATAGTGGATTTCTTTTATGTGTAACTTATGCTTATCTGACCAGGCATGATATAACTGTCTTTTCGTGCGCTTGATTAGCTGAATTCAATTTCTTTATCCGTTATGTGGTTTGATTTTACGAATTAACTACAGATTAGTAGGAGTTACAATTTTAGTCTCTATTTCTTTCTAGTCTCTTCCTTTTCTTATTATTTTTAGTTTTAGTGAAGACTAATCCCCTTGAGGTCGCCGGTTCTTTCCATCTTTCGTCAGTTCTTAATTTTGACATCACTGATTATTTGTTGGATATTCCATGGCTTGTTCTAAGGAAGTCCAACAACAACAATAGCCAAGTCTTTTTGAACAAGGAAGGTGGGGTCAGTTACATGGATTAAATGACGCCCCCAATACTATGTCATAAATCATGTCTATAGACAAAGTATTGGTATTTAAATCCTTCTTAGGAAACAACTTTGTGTACAATATTCTAGTATTTAAAATCCAGATCGTTAAGTTTAGTGAAATAATTTCATGTATATCAGACCATTTTATAAAATTTCTTTTATCAAGGCATGTAAAATATGCACTGATGTACTTGTTATGATGGGTTCCTTTATTGTGATTCAGGAGTGCTTCGACGCCCAGCCGAGGTTCTAGGGCAAGTCCACGTTGCTACACGAATTCGACCTGTGGAGGCTTTGTGGGCATTGGCTTACGGTGGTCCATTATCTTTGCTTCCCTTAGCAATTAGCAATGTACACGAGGATACTCTAGAACCACGGAAGGGGAATATTTCTGTGTCTGTAGCCACTTCATCCCTTGCTGGTCCAATATTTCGAATTATATCAATGGCCATTCAATATCCGAGGAACAATGAGGAGTTGGCTCGTTGCAAAGGTCCTGAGATTCTTTCAAAGATTTTAAATCACCTTCTCGAAACCCTGGCTTCACTTTGTGAAGGAACATATGATGGTGTAGGTGATGAGGAACTTGTTGTTGCAGTTGTCTCACTTTGTCTATCTCAAAATATCAACCATACTCTCAAAGTGCGTCTCTTCACCACACTGTTGCTGGATTTAAAAATTTGGAGTTTATGTAGTTATGGCATACAAAAGAAGCTTCTATCATCACTTGCCGACATGGTTTTCACTGAGTCGGTAGTGATGCGAGAGGCCAATGCCATTCAAATGCTTCTTGATGGCTGTAGAAGAAGCTATTGGACTGTTCCGGAAAAGGATTCAGTAAATAACTTTCATCTAACTGGATCAACAAGACCTACTGGTGAGGTCAATGCGTTGGTTGACGAGCTCTTAGTGGTAATTGAACTTCTAATAGTGGCAGCATCTCCTACATTAGCATCAGATGATGTTCGATGTTTACTTGGGTTCATGATTGACTGTCGACAACCTGGTCAGGTAAGCAATACGCTAATATGAAGCACGCAACATATTATAATTCATGTTTCTTATAATAAAATATTCTGATGTCACGTTTTTGCAGTTCGTGTCATACAATACAGAAATACTGTATTATACAATAACATCCTCTTAGGCCATTCTTGTTGAGGTTACCGTATGCCGAAAGGCTTTGCTTGTGTATTTCATGCTTCCGATGGGTTTTTCTTGTAGTTTTTACCTTTGGTTTTATGTTTTAAGAATTTTTAGAAACTTTTTTTATACTCTGTTTTTATATTTTTGCTTTCTATTTTTAAAACTTTATGAAGTAAAAAGCAACTTATAAATTATTTTTTAAATAACTATCTATTACAAAGATAGTTTGTTACTTTATGAAAAGAAAACGATCTTTGTTATTATTGATTGATCAAAATTACACTGGACGTGGCAGAAATTGCTTGGAGAAATCCTACCAAACCTTGATTAGTGGTTCTGTCATAAGTATGAGAGAAGTCTTTAGTCGTTCTGTCAATAGAGCCCATCTACCATTTACTTGATGGTAAAACTTGAAAATGATTAATATCAACAAGAGAAGTTTTTTATTCAATTCAATAACATAAAAGAGGATCCATGTATATACAGGAAGACTAATCTTGAAAGTAAATATTAGAAAGAAATTTCTAGAATCTTTTATAGCTTCTAAGCTTTTAACAGTACACTTAATATCCTAATGTAGCTCATTAACTATATTATTTTCTGAACAATTTTTCTTTAATAAAGTGTTATGTATTTGTGTGGGATTAGTCATGTACAATAGCTAGGAAATCTCGTATTTATTTCTTATTAGTCCATGTTCAGTAAATAAAGAAATATGCTCATAATTAGAGATTTGATTTCAGAACAGACTGAAATTAGCTTAGAAATATATATATATACATATATACATACATATATATATACACATACATATATATATATACATACATATACATATATATATATATATACATACATATAAATATATATATACATACATATACATACATATACATATATATATACATACATATATATACATACATATATATACATACATATATATACATACATATATATACATATATATATATATACATATATATATATATAGGGGTTTGCTAACTTGCGAACTTTCAGTTGGTACATTTTAGAAATGTGTACCAGGTTTTATTAGACAAAAATACCCTCATATATTATGGATTATAAGCTTTAAGGTCAAGGGTATTTGAATAATTTTCATTCTCAAAACTAAAAAAACAAGAAACCTCCAAACCCTTACTCACCTCCTTCATTCCTCTCAACCCTTTCTCTTTCATCTTTCTTACTCTAACATTTTATCTGTCATCCCTATTGTAGCCCCAATTGAAAAAATCATAAACACTCACTATTAAACAATATAGCTTTGTAAAGAATTGAGTTATTGGCATATTTGCCTTCAGGCAAAGTTCATTCAAGATCTCTTCAATTTCATTATCTTCACTAACCTCTCTAATTTCATCATCTGCGGATGTTGAATCATCATCTTTAAAAAAACCCTCCATGCCAATTACCAATTCCTTCGGATGTCATTATGTTTGTGAAAATTAGATAAGACAAAATTTATAAAATGAAAACTCATTACAAAATCATTTTTTGTAAGGAATTTTGATGGATTTTTTAAGAATAGAATAAGAGGGTCAGCTACCCAGCAAATTTTCATAATTAAATACCGTTACTATATAATTAGATTTCGTTGTGAAAAAACCTACTTACTCAATATTATTGCATGGGTAGAGCCACAGAGTGTGAACTGTACAAGTTAACACTAACATTGATTAAATGAATCAAAAATGAAAAGAAAAAGGCTTCGGTGTATACAGAGGACCTGGTCATTTCTAAAAAAAATCATAGAAACGAAGGAACCCACCAATTAATTATAAAAATATGTGTCCTATTTCATTTACTATTTTTATTTTATTTGATATCTAGTATCAATACAATTTATGATTTTGAGGTTCAATTTTTAATATAAAAAATCGTGGTTGGGGCGATTAGAGTAGCAAGAGCCGTTAGAATTTTTTTTTATACATCGGAAGAATCCATTTTTGTTATTAATAGATTAGGAAGATAAAAAGAATAACTGAAAAATTAAAAAGTTATTCCTGAAAATATCATTTATTCAATGACCAGAATTAAATGAGGATATATAGCTCACAAACGAAGGACAAAAATTCGTTTCTTCATATCAAGTTTTAATCGCGAGTGTTTCTGATTTTTTTCAGGCCAATTACCAATTCCTTCGGATGTCATTATGCTTGTGAAAATTACATAAGACAAAAATTATAAAATGAAAACTCATTATAAAATCATTTTTTGGTAAGAAATTGTTTAATAGCGAGTGATTCTGAATTTTTCAGTTGGGACTACTGGATGACAGAGTAAATGTTGGAGTAAGAGAGATGAAAGATAAAGGGTTGAGAAGAATGAGGGAGGTGAGTAAGGGTTTGGGGGTTTCTTGTTTTTTTAGTTTTGAGAATGAAAATTATTCAAATACCCTTGACCTTAAAGCTTAGAGTCCATAATATATGAGGGTATTTTTGTGTACTAAAACTTGATACACATTGCTAAGATGTACCAACTGAAAAAAGAGCGTACGCAAATTAACAAACCCCATATATATATATATATATATATATATATATATATATATATGTGTGTGTGTGTGTGTGAGAGAGATATTATAACTCTCAAAATCTGGGAGGCTCTAACTGTGCGATTGAAACCCTAAACAACCTTCATTTGCACAAAAGTTGTTTTTCCGCGGCACGTTTTCTTTTCCTTTATCTTGTACCCTCATCGCACAATATCTTATGGCTGAAATAGAGGAGAATAAATTTCAATCTTTTGAAGAGTTGAAGAACATGCATTCTGTCTATGGACTGAATGGTGAGAGCTACATAAAATGGTCCTAATTTATGGTCCCAATTCATTCGCACTATTCTGAGGAAAAGGGAGGACGAATCACTTGACCGATGTTGCTTGTGACATGTAGGATCCCAAATTTAAAACATGGGATAAAGATGATTCCACAATCATGTCTTGGCTATGCAACTCTGATCCCGAAAAAGAGTGACATTTATGTTTCTCTACTTCGCAAGGGAGATTTGGAGTGAGGTAAAGAGGCATATCCTAAAGCCATGGATGTTTCTCAAATATATGACGTAAAGTTGAATACTTTGGAAACAAATCAAGGAAAAGGACTGTGAGCGAGTAAGCTAATCATAAGAGTTAGTGTTGTTGTTTTTAGAGGACAAGGCTTTTTGTGTTTATGTTGCTTAAGAAAATTTGAGGAAGATTCATAGTGGATATTAAGATGATAATGCTATCTAAATGTAAAAGTTCACTTTATAGAGATTCTAAAAGAAAGAATCTAGGATGGATTCAAAATAACAAAAGACAAGAAAATAAACAAAAGCACAATAACAACACTTAATATAAAATAAGTTGAAAAGTGAAACAAAATAGGGAAAAAAAGAAAGGAAATAGAGGGGTATGGGAAAGTGGCACGCCACTTGGGGGATGGATAACCCATGATGAGTGGTGGTTGCCACCAATGTCAAAATAAACCAAGAGATAGCTCACTCTCAAAGGGAGGAACTCACAACCGAAAGTGGATAATAACTTATATTTCTTCCTTCAACAACCCTTTACAAGTGGCAAGGAGATCCTCTTAAATAGACCAACAGAATGACCTCCTAGCAATAATACAAAGATGAAGAGCTATATAGCAAAATCACAAAGTATCTTTCTAGAAGCCTAATGTTGAGGGAGAGGAAGAATATTTTCCAATCATTACAAAATCATCAAAAAGGTGCATTCTTTCTCCTCCAAGTGCGTAATGGTCCCCACTCCAGTCCAAGATGCTCTTCTTTTCCATTTCCAAGGGGTCTTCTTGGCAAAACTAGGACTGTGGTGAGTACACTCCCTATGGCTAAATACCTCCATGGCCTTCCATTTCTCTAGAAGGTGACAACCTAAAAAGGAGAGGTCCCACTAACAACCCCACAAAACACAAGAAACAAACATGAGTCTATAATTTATTTAAGACAAAAACTAAACAAACTAATAGAAGAAAGGTGGAGAAACCTCCCTCCTAATCATGCTTATTTTCCCTAAGCACTTTCCTCCATTTTTGGTAGGGGTTAGGGGCTCATAAGCTAATATGATGAGTTGAACATTACTTGGACATAAAAACTAAATGTTCAGAAGATTTATAGCCATACTCAAGGACTATAATGTGCAATGCGGATCTATGATTTTCTGGTGGACTCAAACTGTGAATTTTTGTTATAGCTAAAAGAAAGTGTTAGAATATTTATCCTATTTATCATCATTATACTCTGTCTAGGGTTACTCTATTTATTACGATTATATTGTGTCGAGGGTTACCCTACTTATCATGTACTCTTGTATCAATTTATTCTTATAAATAGACGATTATGAGAGGGATCAATCAAGCCCTCTAGAATTAGTTTACAGTTTCAATCTCAAGTCGGTATCAAAGCGGGTCCGCTCTGGTTTCTGTCTCGTAGCATTTGTTTGGTGCCATTTGCCGCTGTCCGCGGTTGTCCTCTTCAATGTTGTCAGTCACTGTTCTTCACTGTTTCGTCGCCGTCCGCCGCCGGCCATCGATACAGTTCAGTCCGGTGACCATCGGATTTGGTTCGTCTCTCCAAATTAAAAAAGATGTGTCCTGAACTTAGTGGTCTCCAAACCTTAGAATGTGAGTCATGTCAACTGGGAAAACATGTTAGATCTACCTTTCTTAAAAGGTCTCAATCAATATGTAATTCTAATTTTTCCATCATCCATTATGATATATGGGGACCTAGTCCTATTTTCTCCTTTGGTTTTGGATATTTTGTTACCTTAATTGATGAATATTCAAGATGTACTTGGGTTTATCTTATGAAAAATCATTCTAAATTATTAGCCGTCTTTACATGTTTTTTAAATGAAGTCAAGAATCAATTTGGTCAAGTAATCAAAATATTAAGAAGTGATAATGTCAAAGAGTATTTCTCATCCTTCCTTTTTGCCATCTTGAGTTCTCATGGTATCTTACATCAGTCTACTTGTCCTCATACACCGCAGCAAAATGGTATAGCAGAAAGAAAAAATAGACACATGAAAGAAACTGCACATAACCTTTTGCTTGGTGCCCATATTCCTGTCCATCACTGGGGGATGCCATCTTAACTACATGTTATCTTACTAATAGGAGGCCCTCCTCCTCTCTTGATCATAAAGTCCCTTTCTCCATTCTGTTTCCTAATGATCTTCTCTTTCACACATCTTCCCGAGTGTTTGGGTGTGTATGTTTTGTTCATGACATGTCTCTAGGACTAGACAAACTCTTCGCTCGTGCTCTCAAATGTGTCTTCTTAGGCTTTAATAGACCCAACAAACAACAAACTTTGTTAGGGTAGGCCCTAACAAAGATGATCATGTAAGGTATAACACCTATCAATTTTTTGATCGAGCTTGTGACAATGTTCACACTTGTGATTCCCTTTGCTTGGCTTGTGATGGAAATTGTGATCATCACACTGAGATACCAATGCTGAAGTGTCATCAGAAGTGGCTGAAGAAGGTATTTAGTGGTTGACTTACTTGACACAAAGAAATAGGTTGGAACAAAGGGAAGTAGAGGTAGGTACAATTGGGGACTCTAAAATCTAATCACAGATATATGGATAATCATCAGGTAGTCCATGTAAGGCCATAAACATGGAAAAATTTGATCATTGCTCTAGTTCTTAAGAAGCAATGGAGGTAGGAGGCAATGTGAACTCTTATAGTTGAAGGGTATATTGAAAGACTTAAACATGAAGAGCGATGAGCCTATGAGGTTATATTGTGACAATAAATCCACAATTAGCATAACTCACAATCTAGTACAACAACATAGAACTAAACATATTGATGTGGATAAACATTTTATCAAATAAAAGATTGACCATGAAATGATTTGCACTTAGTATGTGTCTACCTAGGGACAACTCGCAGACATACTCATCAAAGGGCTAAACAACAGTAACTTTGAGAGAATTATATTAAAGCTCGGAATGAAGAACATTTATTTACTAGCTTGAGGGGGAGTTTCAAATATATTTTAGAAAGTTTCAGATAATATTCTTATTGCTTTTAATTTTGTATAGTTATTTTATCTTGTTTTTATTACTAGCTATTCCCTAGAATAGTTTGTTCTTATTTCCAAAATAATAAGAAGAAAGAAATCATCTCCTTTTAAACTTGAGAATTAATTACATTGATTACAAAGTTCTATGACATGTCCCCTTTAACTAGAGCTTCTAACTTGCTCCACGCTTTTACAATTTATATGGGAGGATGAACTCCAACAGTGTGTGGGATATTTGACACTTCTGCTGTAATTTTCCGAAAACTAAACCCTATTTTCTGTATAACATTGTATTCTCTAAATATACTTTATGAGCCATTAACTAGTAAAATACCTTACATTGTTGCATAACTAAATTACCAGAAACTCAGGGTTATTGATATTTTATATTCTTCTTTGTCTGAAAACAAGTAATCCACATCTTCTCTTTGTGGTTATTACTAATCTCAAGCTTAGTGGCTTATTTGGAAATTTGAACAATGTAACACAAATTTGTTATGCTTTGGTTTAATTTTTAAAATCTCTGTTATCAAAATTTAAAGAAATTTTACTCTTTATTTACTTTATTTTACAGATTGCTAGGGTGTTACATCTCTTCTACAGGTTGGTTGTGCAGCCGAATACAGCTAGAGCTCACTCATTTGCAAAAGCATTCCTAGCATGTGGAGGGATAGAAACTCTTCTTGTTCTTCTCCAAAGGGAAGTTAAAGCTGGAGAAAGTGATGCTCTTGAATCGGCACCAAAGAATCCTGAATTTAAAAAAAATGAAAATGATGGTAGCAGTGAAATCACAGAAACATATCAGGATGATGAAGGTTCTCAATCTGCTGATAGTTGCAGTAATATTGGTCCTAGTTCTCCTGATGTGTATATTGAAGGGATGACACGTACCTCAGAAACTCCATCTGTCAAGAATTTGGGAGGCATAAGTCTATCCATCAGTGCTGACAGTGCTAGGAAAAATGTTTATAATGCTGATAAAAGTGATGGCATTGTTGTTGGGATTGTTGGTCTCTTGGGTGCTTTAATAGTTTCTGGGCATCTGGGGCATGGTTCCCGCTCTGGTCTTGATACAGCAAGCAACCTTTTGGGTGTTGGACTGCAAGATGGTGGAAGTACAATGTTTGAAGATAAGGTTTCTTTTCTTTTTTACGCCTTACAAAAGGCATTCCAGGCAGCACCGTGTAGGCTGTTGACAAACAATGTCTATACAACTTTATTGACTGCCTCGGTATGACATACTCTCTCTACCTTATCCCCAGTCCCTAGTCCCTAGTCCATGCCAATTGTAGGATACTATTTTGCCAGTATAAAAATGGAAAATATTGTGTTTATTGAAATGGACATGCTTTATTTAGTATAAGCTTATTTTCTTTGGCCATTTTCATCTTATAGGTTTTTCTTTCTTTCTAAGAGTGTAAATGTATGTTTTTTCTTTCAATATGAGAAAAAATTATAATTCTTCCAACTCAATTCTATATGATATAGTTCTTACATTCTTTGCTTTGTATGTGTACTATCCATGTTATTTGCATTGTATGTCACTTTGAGATAAAATTTGCAAAATATATTTAAGATTTTGTTGAAAGAGAGATAGATGCAAGAGATGTTGAAACTGTGTATATGTTACATGATTGCAAGAAATACATATTAATTGCGACTAAGGCAGATAATTATAGGAAATTTTTTATGAATATACATGATGTGATATGTTTTATTCAGATTCCTATAAATTGATTCTAATTAGACATATCTATAATGATGGTAAAATTGTGACTGTTATTTTTTTGTTCAACTTTCGTAAAACTGCAGTGTTGGGTGTATGTTCCTAGCTTGAGTGTTATAGGATAGTACTTTTCCTATATAAATGCATGTTTGTATATATAATATACATCAACTGAGCACAATAAACGACTGCTTTTATTATCACATCTTAATTCAAGTTGGTATCAAGAGACCCCAACTTAAAGCTATATTTGTGAGGTTAGGTTAAGCTTAAAATTCACATTTTGAGATGGTATGAGAGCTAATCTTAGAAAGGTTTGTTGGGTCTATTTTGTTACTTGCTTTTGGATCACTATAAGACTACCCACAAATATTTATTTCCTTGCTTGAGATGTCCAGTCCTTGATGAGAGCACATTGATTAGAGATTTGATCAAATTATAATTTGTAAATAGGTGTAAACTTCAACTTACTAACTTGTTTTGTGAGAATGAGTTAGACTCATGAAATAATTTTTAACAATTGGTATTTAATGGAGAAATGAAATGCAAATAAAAGGAAATAAGTCTCATGAAAAAAAGGAAACAAATCTCCATAACTAAAGACTCTAAATTTGAAACAAATCTACGAAATAGACTCCTAATCCCGATCCCTTAAGTTTAGGACTTTCTTGCAAACAAATATATATTTATTATTCAACAATTTTGTAGTTATTGTATAGTAAATGCCCAAATTAACCTTCAAGTCGTCTAAGATAATTTTTAGTCATAATAACTCAGCCCTTGTGCAGGCCTGAACTCTGATTCAGCCGATGATCTTGCCACCACATCCCCCTTTTTTTTCTCCAGTTCACTAATTTCACACTTAGGAAAGTACAATATTCAGTCATTAATCTTCTATCAACAAGCGAACTTGTACCTTTCAATATACGCAGCAGCCTGACATTTTACTGTGAATATCCATTTGCTGCCAGAAATATTCTTTTCTTTGAGTTTGTCAACAATATCCCTTTGTATTGAAAATAAGTATAGGCAGTTTTGTTGAAATAATTTCTAGCATTGTCAAACCTAAATCTTTTTATGTTGACCTCAAATTGATGCTGAGTCGTTGAATGAAAGATGGAAATAACAATAGTCACGTCATATTTTTGTGAAGCAAATGGATCCAAATAACTCTTGTGCAATCATCAATAAAGACTACAAACCAATGGGACCAAGAGATACTAGTTATAGTAGATTGTTCCCATATATCACTACTGATTAATTGGAAAGGTTGTGAACTTCTATTGTTGCTAATGGGAAAAGATACACGCATGTTTATATAATTCACAAGCCTCGCAGTGCAGTAAACAAATCCTAAACCCTTAATTTAGGGATTTCTTATAAACAAATCTATATTTATTATACAGTAAATGTGCAGTATTTATAGCCATATTTCAACAAGACTTAAAATTCACTTTTTAGGAATAGGCTAAGTTTTGTCTTTTCTCATTATATAGGAAGCATATTAATTGAAATAAGAAGGTAATGCTCAATTATAAATGAAAGATTCCGTCTTATATTGTTAAAACATTAATACACCAAAGCCTTGAAGCCACGTTGGATATCTTTTTAAGATAACTCACGTTTTCCTTTGCCACGTTTTTTATGGTATTTTTTTTTTATTTCAGATAAATGCTTCTTCAACAGAGAATGCGCTGGATTTCAATGATCCTGGCCATCGCTTTGAGCATTCACAACTGCTAATAGCGCTTTTGCATTCCCTTCCATTTGCACCTAGGCCTTTGCTGAGCAGAGCACTACAGGTATTGGCTTAACAATTTTTTTCACAATATGCATGCAATAGTTGTGCATCATATCTTATCTTTGCCTAGGTTTTCTTAGTGTCTTCTTTTCTAATGTTCTTGATTTATGCATTTGATTTTCTTATAGCAATTTACTTATTGAAGTACTTCTTAATTTAGGAATTTAGTTTCTTGTTAGACACTTATTCCTTTTTCTTTTGGGTGTTGTAAGGGAATGTTGCCAATATTTTAAGATCAAAAGGATTGTGGTGTAACATAGAAATAATTTCTTTACTTCCTTAAGAGAGTAGCGAAGCTTGATAATAACTTTAAAACTAATAAAAGGAAAGTGACAGGCTCAATTAGGTTTTGTTTTGTTGGATCTATCAAGGAGGAGGTTTGTGGGGAGATACAAACACCAATGACATATGAGCCAACCATATAAGGGATTGACACCACCCTGTACTCAAAACCTTAAGGCAATAGGTTAATGGGTCTTTCATCTTTATATACTGCTCTACTTTATCATTTATCTAATGTGGGACTTAGACTCACCTTTGGATTCCCAACATGTTTAAACAACAATAGGAATTGAATAAGTCTGATAATAAGTTTAAAACTAATCAAAAGAAATATGCTCAACTGGGTTCTGTTTAAATAACAAGAGGAATTGAATCAAGAGAAACAAAAACAATCTACCTCCTGGAGTTTATTACTGAGTGTATTAACAAGGAGAATACAAGTTTATGATTTCAAAGCACCTTGATAGCATATGGAGAGTTTATGATAGAAAGAGAAGAAGGAATGAGGATGTTAGGAGAATAAATGAGGTGTAACTGTAATAACAGTTAGTGGCGGGAAAGGAGGTCTTATAAAGAGCTGGTGTACTCTTTTAATAGTTTTAGTTTTGAATATTCATTCTTTGTATAGACAGGAAACATTTATCCTGTGGAGGGGGAACTTGGCTCACTTGGAGGCTTTGGGTGTACAAATTGGAGGAATAATAACAGATTTACTCGGTTTTACTATCTTTTCTTCCCATGTGGTGTGTGTTAGTGAAGTGTCTAGATAGATTTCCTTCCAAGAAACCTATCACACCTTTTCTCTACTACAAAAAAGAAACAGGGTAATTTACCCCCTGTTTACATTGTTTAGTAACTAATTCTGTAACGTAACCCTATTTCCTTTTTTTCTAAATAAGTGTCTGTCACCTCAAGAAGATGTCTATATTTTCTTTTAGCAATGCATTTTGTTGTGGTGTATTCACACAAGAAAATTCATGAATAACACCATTTTCAGAAAGAAATTTAGACATGTCTTGATTTACATATTCCCACTCATTATCAGAACATGAACTTTTAATTGACTTCCCGAATTATGTTTTTACCATATGGAAGAATTTGTCAAATAAAACTTCATATTTTTCTTTCATGAGAAAAATCCATGTAACATGACATGCTTAAGTAAATAATAGGGATTCCTTAGTGGTGAGAACTTTGTCGCCTAAACTATCCCAAACAAACTGAACTAACCCCTCTACTGTAGTATAAGAATCAAGTCAGGTCAGTCCAAGGAGAACTACTGCGGTGAGTTCATTGACTTGTTGAAAGACAGATTTTTAGGGGGTTTCAAAAGTAATAACAGAAAGCAGTAACAACTAAAGACTAGAATAATTAAACAGCACTTAACACCATGAAATACAGGCTGTGAAACTCGAAAACAAAAATTCTACTAAGCCAGAACTGTGAGATGAGATGTGTAACAGGGAGAGGAAGGTGCAATGGAAATTGAAAATAAAACAGTTAAGAGATAAAAACGAGTACTATGCAGTCAACTTAATGAAATCATAGTTGCAAAACAGAATTTAACCAAAAAGAGAAATGTGTAATAGAGAATAAAATAGGTACTACTTTCGCTAAAACAGAGAAAATGAAATTGCAAGATTGGAATGTAAAGTGCAACACATATTACATGAAATGCATGATTAAACTAAATAGTAAAAGTAGATATCAAAAGAAAAGCATCAATAAAATAGTAGGTGCTCCAACTAAGGGCTCAAAAAGATGAAAAAGGCAACAAATAGCATAGTAAAACAATGCATAACCAATGACTGAAATAGTAGTTCAGAAAATCAGAGAAGTTCATTGTGCAAAATCAACCATTCATCTCAGCACTAAGATAAACACATACAAAACTGGAATGTAGCATTAAAAATGGACAAATGCCCGAGAAATACTAATATCACCTTAATCACTAAAATTAGGTGGAAGAGCAATAAAATAAAAGGAAATGGAATAATGAAAAGAAGAACATAAAACATATGGAATAAAAAACTAACCACAAATCAAGACTACAACATTGTTAAACTGGTAAATGAAAAAATGTGACCATAGATGTAGCGGTGGTTGATTGCAAACGGGGTGCTGTAGCGGTGACAAAACCACAAGTTGGGTGGCAACCTTAATATTTGAAGGAAATGGGTACACTTCAACCAATTCTAAAAGGAACCATAAATAAGAGGGTAAAGAATAAATGCCAAAGTAGGGCTCCCAAGATCAGGAGCTTTATATCTAACTTGAAAATATTAATATAAAATAAAGAAGGTCAATGTAGTTTATTAGCACCATACCTTATTTATTTTCATATCTCATATTAAAGTTATGCGTTATACATCTTGGAGAAACAGGGTTAATGAACTGTAAATCTGTTGAGACACCTATGGACCCTAACATCAAACTCTTACCAAATCAGGGGGAGCCTTTCTCAGATCCTGAACGGTATAGAAGATTAGTTGGTAAATTAAACTATCTTACTGTTACGCGTCCTGACAATTTTTCCTTCGCAGTTATGTGGTGAGTCCGTTTCTAAACTTCCCATGTGAAGGACCCCCCACCCCCCCCCCCCCCCCCCCCCCCCCCCCCCCCCCCACACCCCCCCCCCCCCCCCCCCCCCCCCCCCCCCCCACCCCCCCCCCCCACCCCCCCCCCCCCCCCCCCCCCCCCCCCCACCCCCCCCCCCCCCCCCCCCCCCCCCCCCCCCCCCCCCCCCCCCCCCCCCCCCCCCACCTCCCCCCCCCCCCCCCACCCCCCCCCCCCCTCCCCCCCCCCCCCCCCCCCCCCCCCCCCCACCCCCCCCCCCCCCCCCCCCCCCCCCCCCCCCCCCCCCCCCCCCCCCCCCCCCCCCCCCCCCCCCCCCCCCCCCCCCCCCCCCCCCCCCCCCCCCCCCCCCCCCCCCCCCCCCCCCCCCCCCCCCCCCCCCCCCCCCCCCCCCCCCCCCCCCCCCCCCCCCCCCCCCCCCCCCCCCCCCCCCCCCCCCCCCCCCCCCCACCCCCCCCCCCCCCCCCCCCCCCCCCCCCCCCCCCCCCCCCCCCTCCCCCCCCCCCCCCCCCCCCCCCCCCCCTCCCCCACCCCCCCCCCCCCCCCCCCCCCCCCCCCCCCCCCCCCCCCCCCCCCCCCCCCCCCCCCCCCCCCCCCCCACCCCCCCCCCCCCCCCCCCCACCCCCCCCCGCCCACCCCCCCCCCCCCCCCCCCCTCCCCCCCCCCCCCCCCCCCCCGCCCCCCGCCCCCCCCCCTCCCCCCCCCCCCCCCCCCCCCCCCCCCCCCCCCCCCCCCCCCCCCCCCCCCCCCGCCCCCCCCTCCCCCCCCCCCCCCCCCCCCCCGCCCCTCCCCCCCCCCCCCCCCCCCCCCCCCCCCCCCTCCCCCCCCCCCCCCCCCCCCTCCCCCCCAGCTCCCCCCCCCCCCCCCCCCCCCGCCCCTCCCCCCCCCCCCCCCCCCTCCTCCCCACCCCCCCCCCCCCCCCCCTACCCCCCCCCCCCCCCCCCCCCCCCCCCGCCGCCCCCCCCCCCCCCCCCCCCCCCCCCCCCCCCCCCCCCCCCCCCCCCATCCCCCCCCCCCCCCCCCCCCCCCCCCCCCCACTCCCACCCCCCCTCCCCCCCCCCCCCCCCCCCCCCCCCCCCCCTCCCCCCCCCTCCCCCTCCCACCCCCCCCCCCCCCCCCCCCCCCCCCCCCTCCCCCCCCCCCCCCCCCCCCCCCCCCCCCCCCACCCCCCCCCCCCCCACCCCCCCCCCCCCCCATTGGGATGCAGTTGTTCGCATACTGAAGTATATTAAGGATCACCTGGAAAGGTTGTGCTATAGGCCCTAACAATGATACAAAAATCGTTTGCTATTCATATGCTTGATTGGGCTGGTTCCCCTTATGATAGGAGGTCTACTTCTTATATCGTGTCTCTATTGGTGGCAACCTGATATCTTGGAAAAGTAAGAAGCAAAGTGTTGTGCAAGGTCCAGCGCAGAAGCAGAATATAGAGCTAATGACATCTGCTACTTGCAAGCTTTGTGGTGGCTTAAACAATTACTAATGATTTGGGGGGGGGAAAAAAAAAAAAAATTTTGAGATGCCACTCACCTGACACTTATATGTGATAATCAGTTGCTCCTTCATATTAGCGCTAACCCCTGTCTTCATGAAGAACCAATCCTTGAAGTTTTATTGTCATTTTTTAGAGAAAAAATCATATCAGTAGATATCAAGATTGAGTTCGTTAACTCAAGCAACAGTTTGGCAGACATATTCCCAAGTGCTTACAGGACCTAGAAATTGACATAATTTGTAACAAGCTTGGAACATAATGATTTATATGCTTCATCATCAGCTTGAGGGGGGAGTGTTAGATGTTAAGTGTGTTGGGGGGTTTCTGTTCATTGGGCTTAGCCCATTCTGTATTTAGGGTTCAACCCTTATCCTTAATTAATAAATAAACTACCATGTGTATGCTTAAACACATAAGGGAGATTTCTCCTAATGTTCTTCACTATATTCAAAAAATGTAATTACTAAAGTTGATAGAAGTTGTTTAAAAGATTCAAGAGATCTCTTTGTAATTATTACTTTAGGGTTAGAGCTCTCTATAGATAAAGGTTAATTTACGATTTCAAATGAATCAATTTGAATAGATTCT